AGAAGTCAATCTGATTTGGGACTTATGCTTGGAATTTAACTACCATTTATACCACTGGGTTTATAGAATTTTGATTTCTAAATAAACAACTTACTAATAAACCTGACGACACAATTCACTAGGGCATTAGAGCCTGCCTTTATACTGAACAAGGCGGTGAAGTGTTTTTATTATTAATAAGCACAGTACAGCCTACTCAAGAAAAAGAAAACTTCTATAATCTTATTTGGCCACCACATCAAACAAACTATGGAGTCTTTTGATGATATAAATAGTATCCTCACAAAATACATGGGACTAGTATTTGCCAAATTTGATTTCTAGGTTCTGTCAAACCAGTTGCAGAGATATAGCTAGAATTTTTTTTCTCAGTTGAAAATGCTTTAAGTCTTTGAGTTCTGGTTTTCATCCTCCTCTGATCAGTTGCTGTGTGAGGATGTCCATATCTGACTCATTTTACTCTACAAATACAGAATTGCACCCAGGCGTATTTTAGGGGTATTGGTCACCTTGAAGTTTTCATAGGTTTTACAGATACATGCTGGTGAGGTGGGAGCGAGGGTGAATAAGAAGTAAAATACAAGTCTTCCTGAAAGCTGATAATGCAGCATTGGGGTCAATGATTTGTTTTCTTTCTTTCTTTTCTTTCATTATTATTATTATTATTATTATTATCATTATTATTATTATTATTTTGAGATGGAGTCTTGCTCTGTTGCCCAGGCTGGAGTGCAATGGCACGATCTCGGCTGACTGCAACCTTTGCCTCCTGGGTTCAAGCGATTCTCCTGCCTTAGCATCCCGAGCAGCTGGGATTATAGGCATGCACCACCATACCTGGCTCTTTTTTTGTTTCTTTTTGAGACAGAGTCTCACTCTGTCACCAGGCTGGAGTGCAGTGGCATGATTTCAGCTCACTGTAACCTCTGCCTCCCAGGTTCAAGCGATTCTCCTGCCTCAGCCTCCCGAGTAGCTGGGACTATAGGCACGCAGCACCACGCCCAGCTAATTTTTATATTTTTAGTAGAGAGGGGTTTCACTATGTTGGCCAGGCTGGTCTCAAACTCCTGGGCTCAAGTGATCCACCTGTCTCAGCCTCCCAAAGTGCTGGGATTACAGATTTCAGCCACTGAGCCCAGCCTCTTTTTTTTTCTTTTCTTTTAAATAGATATAGGGTTTCACCGTGTTGCCCAGGTTGGTCTCAAACTCCTGGGCTCAAGTGATCCACCTGCCTCCGCCTCCCAAAGTTCTGGGATTACAGGTGCGACCACTGTTCCCAGCCAAAAATCATTTCATTTTTACAACTTTAGCAGTGGGATCTGGGGCCAAGTTATATGGCGGAGTGGCATCACAATATCAATATACAACTCATCTTTTAAAATCTTTGTTTTAGCATATGACTTGAGAGCTGGACAGCCATACTGAATATTTCCACTGGAGCAGAGAGGACTGAGAGGCCACTGCCCAATTTATTGTGTCTGTGTTGAGTGCTAGATCTATGAATGGGGTTCCATACTAGCAAACAGCAACCTCATTTCCAGTTCATTTTTCTCCTTGCTGGAAGTGTTCTAAATATTGGAAGAATCATCTACTCTAAATTAGAATGCCCCGCTTTGTCTACTCTGCATTTTTTTTAACAAGAAGGCATACAATATATTTATTGTGTTTATTGATTTATTGATGCTTAGAAAATAAAAGAATGTTGGTTTAGGATGGACTGAATTTTATCTTTCCGCTATATAGAAAAGAGGCAAGTTGCTCTAATCCTTGAATCACAGAGGCTTATAAGGAGAATTCAAATTCATGTCTGGTTTCCCGTATTCAGAGATTCTACAGAGAGAAAATTCTCTCCTAAAAGGAACTATATACTGGCCAGGCACAGTGGCTCATGCCTGTAGTCCCAGCACTTTGGGAGGCCAAGATGGGTGGATCACTTGAGGCCAGGAGTTCCAGACTAGCCTGGACAACATGGTGAAACCCTGTCTGTACTAAAAATACAAAAATAAGCTTGGCTTGGTGGCATGCACCTGTAATCCCAGCTCCTTGGGAAGCTGAGGCATGAGAATCGCTTGAACCTGAGAGGCAGGAGTTGCAGTGAGCCGAGATCACACTACTGCACTCCAGCCTGGCCAACAGAGCTAGACTGTCTCACCAAAAAAAAAAAAAAAAGAACTATATACCACTTGGCATATATCTGAAGAGAAGCAGGGTGGAAGGTAAAGTAAAATATAAGTTCGGTGGAAAAATACTTGGAAAGCCACTTGGTAACCATAAAGATCTTAATTAAATCACCCAGAGCCTTATTCCATAATGATATGCACCAGGTGTTTCTGCTTCCACTTAATTAACTCAGCATAATTCCTCTTTTAAAAACACGACACATACTGTTGAGGTGTATCCAGCCGAAACACACATCACCACAAAGCTTTTAAAATGTGGTTCTTTTCAATGTGCATATTAGAATGGCCTCATGTCTTTCACTATGTGTGTACTGACCTTAGAGGGTCACCCACATTAAAGGATGCAGTAGAAATAAGGCAATCCCACATTTACAGACAAGAAAACACAATAATGTAGTTTTATGGAAACTAACCTTCAGAAATGCAGGGCATTCACTGGTTTCACTCAGAAACCTCTCAGATGTGGGAGAAATATGTGTGAGATTTGGACTTTCATTTATCCAAATATGAGGAATCTGTCTGTTAGAGTCAACTGGCTGATAATGGATGGAAAGGATTAGTGCAGGTCCTACTTGGCAGGCTTCTCGGTAGAAACCCATATGCTCTCTGACATTGATTATAATTATTTTTCCATCATTCCCAGGTTACATTCTTAGCAGGAATGTGAGCCAACTCTCTCCCTAGGAAGGCTCCTGCTGTGAAACCATCTTTGGCAATGAATCTTTAACAAAAGATCAAGAACTTGACATTTATTTTTAAGCACGAGAAGAAAATGTGTGCAATGTTGGAAGCAAGGACAGGGATAGGAAGAGCTTCTAAACACTTGCAGGCAGGAGCAGTGGAACAGAAAGAAATATTACATGAGTGACATGACTTTACTTTTGTGAACAGCAACTAATGACTAGGTATGGAATATGTAGATTATATGATGTTAAGGTCTAACGTCTTTTTAAAGTAGAAGAGTGGGGGAAACGTGGTTATTATTCCAAACCAGGTATGTCTTTATGATTTTATATCCAACTGATCATTCAGGGAAGTTATTAGGACAGTGGTTGAAACAGAAATTTAGGATGATATTCTAAGAAACAGAAAGAGCAGTCTTCTTATTCTAATTGGCAAGACCAACAGAGATAACAAAAAAAAAATCTTTTTTTTTTTTCAGGAAGAGCATGTGCATTCAAACTTGTTAATTCATTGATTTGAGTTGAAGGGAGGGGGACATGCTTGGTGGAAAAGTTAAAGTGCTCCGGGTGAGAAATTCACAGGGTAAGAATTTTTCATTTTCAAATTGTCCACCTACAGTAAGGAAATTTCTTCCAAATTAATTTTTTAAACAACAGGTGCAGAAAATGGTGTGGCTGTCAGAAAATTACCAAATTAAACATAAAAAGCTTAGCCTCTCTCCTAAAGGATGGTTATTTCTGTCTCGTAGTTTCATGCACTGTAATGATTAGTTTCTCCATTAAAATCAAATACAGAATATAATTAAGTCAATCCTCCAGGTTACATGTCTTAAAATTCCACTAGCTGAAGGGCTTGCTAGAGGAAGTAATAAATACTTTAATAAATGCCTGTACCATAAATGTACTTCGGATGTGACTTAAACTCAGTACAAAAAACCTTATCATAGGCAGTTTATAGCCCCTAGATGGGGAATTTTTTTTTTTTGCTGAGCTATGCTCTTCGAAGCATTTGGATAAAGTTCCTAATGGTATTCCACTTTCTACCTTTGACGAAAACTTAGCCCAAAGTGATGTGTACATTTTTATACATGAGAATGAAATCAAATGAAACGTTGTGATTTAAAAAGGAAACCACATATTATTGAAAACTAAAATATATCTTGGTTATGGACTTGTGAATACTACATCAAAATTCATTGCAGAAGAATAAATTACCCAATTTTGTAATAGAGTCTTCAGATATGGAAAATATATAGTGTTCTTCCTGTTTTAACATTGCGGATTTAAATCATTTGGTTACATAATCACAATTCAATCTCCAACTGAAATTTTCATTGTCATTATTATATCATTTAAAAATATATAACTGAGCACAGTGGCTCATGCCTGTAATCCCAGCACTTTGGGAGGCCATAGTAAGAGGATCACTTGAGCCCAGGAGTTCAAGACCAGCCCTGGGAACATAGCAAGGCCCCGTCTTTGCAAAAAAATTTAAAAACTAGTTGGGCATGGTAGCATGCACTTGTAGTCCCAGCTACTTGGGAGGCTAACCTCGGAGGATCACTTGAGCCCGGAAGCTTGAGGCTGCAGTGAGCTGTGGTCATGCCACTGCACTCCATCCAGCCTGGGAGACAGAGCAAGACCCTATCTCAAAATGTATATATATATGTATATATATTTTTAAATATTATCAGCAAATATATATGTATATATATATTTTAAATATTATAGACTATATGTATATTTTAAAAAACCACTACAATCGCTTGTACTTAAAGTCTATTCTCATCTTCTTGGTTTGGCATAACCATTACTTCTTTTCTCACTGCAGGCAAAGATGTTAATAGCAATGGGGAAAAAAATAACGCTTCTCCGTGCTAGGCAAACGGCCATATCCATCGGGAGTAAAGAAAACGAATAAGTTCTCACACATGGCTGCCTTTATCTCTTCCATTTGAATAAGTTATTGAATTTACTATGTGCAAGGTTGTTTGCAAAACATCTCACACACATTCCCTTATTTAATTCTCATAAAAATCTAAAATTTATATATTTAAGCCTCCCAACTACCCAGCGAGAGAGTTAATAATATGCTCCTTCCACAGGGAGAAAAGTGAAGCTCAGAGAGTTTATTTACCTAAAGTTTTATAGGGAGGAAATCATTTCTTGTAACCATCTGTGTCAGCTGGGTCTTCCAGGAAGCAGGTGAGGAGACCAAGTGAAGAACACAAACAGTTGATTCAGGTGAAATGCCTGTTAAAGAAAAAAGGGAGAATCAGCAGCTTGGACAGATAAAGCCTTTGGGCCATGATATTAATCTGATACTTGTGAAAAACAAACAAACAAAAAAGGTGGGGAAGAGTCTGGGCGCGGTGGCTCACTCTGTAATCCCAGCACTTTGGGAGGCCGAGGTGGGCAAATCACCTGAGGTTGGGAGTTCGAGACCAGGCTGACCAATATAGTGAAAGCCCATCTCTACTAAAAATACAAAATTAGCCAGGTATGGTGGCACATGCCTGTAATCCCAGCTACTCAGAAGGCTGAGGCAGGAGAATCACTTGAACCTCGGAGGCAGAGGTTGCAATGAGCTGAGATTGCGCCATTGCACTCCAGCCTGGGCGACAAAAGCGAAACTCTGTCTCATTAAAAAAAAAAAAAA